CTAGATAAGCAATTACTTTAGACTTTTTTTAGGATACCTTTTCCTCTGTAATTAGAGTATTAAAATCATCAAAACTTTTACTGTTTAGAAAAACTGTGTATCTAGCAGTCAGACTCAATGCAAGGTAGCTTGGGGAACCAAAAAGGCTTACTGCTGCTGACAGTGTTTTTCTGAGAGTTGCACATGAAACTTTCATTACTGATGTTCATTGTTCATGTTATATCTATGCTATTAAAGCATCTTTAAGGCTTTAAAGACATAAGGAAAATTTCACTGCATGCAATGTCCACAGACATTGGGCAGATTTCTTCAGTGCACCGTATGATTATAAAAGATAACCACCAGTCTGTTCATCTGATATTCAGATGTGAAATGAAGACAAGTCATTCTAAAACAGGGTCAAATTAATTTAGGGTCAAAGTGAACAACAGCTCACTCTTGTGTGCATTATGTTTTGTTTGAGTATTTATGCATCTCTTAAGTGAAGGGCAGATTTTTCAATTCTATTGCTTTCAGAGGACTAATGCTAAACTTTTCATCTTCCGTATTTAGCTTTATTTATTGTAGGGCTGTGTTTTGTTGCTTTGGGTTTTTTTGTTGGTTTTTTTTTTTATTTGCGTTACTGAAATTGTTAAACTACACTACTATATTAAAAATACAAAAAAAAATATGGGTAATACAGAGAAATGACTACATCAAATCTGGCTGAACAGAATGTATATAAGAATTAATCCAACTTCATAATCAGTATGAGGTACTTCTTCAGGACAGATGCCAAACCTCTTGGAAAACAAAAACCACAATAGATGTGTGCAGTTAGCAGAAGTTACAATTTAAGAAAAAATCAGCTACTCAGTAGATACTCAGTAGTATTTGAAGGTTGTGTGCAGGGCAGGAAAACGGGCTGACGGGGACCTTAATACTCAGAACGAGTGACTGTTCCCTCCTGCGAGCAAAGAGACAGGTTTGCTATTAAAAGTTTTGCCAGAAAGAAATTATGTTAGCAAGAAATTTAAATTTAAAAACCTGTAGCTAAGGCAGCTGTTTAGGCTATATAAAGATCAAGAGAAAAAAAAAAAAAAAAGATTTTTTTCAGACAGAAGCTTTAGGAAAATGTTATAACCTATGCAGTCAAATACATCTGTGTATATATGTATATTTGTTAAATATGTAGGTAAGGTCTCTCTTTGCCAGTAGTAAAATGCATCTTGAGGAGAAGAGGTTATGGACATATCCGCCCACAGCAGCCATGCAGCAAGGCCCCTGTGCTGGGAATCCACAAGGCTCGGTGCACGGGCACAGGGACTATTTTCTGGGATTTCCGAAGTCCAGTCATTTCTAACACCAGTGAGGAGAGTTTCCAAATTTCCTTTCTCCTGTCCTCTCTCCCCTGAGCTCTGCAGGCATGAGCTGCCCCCCTCTCCTCCTTTCCTTCCCTCCCTCCCCGTCTCTTCCCATTAGAAATGTCACTATCCCCATCTGCCGCCCCTGAACTCCCTGTGCTGGCAGGAACGCGCGCAAACCGAAGCAGCTGAAGTCATTCAGCATAATGTGCTACACTGACACTTCAAAGGCAATTACTAGCATTTTCTGACGAGGAAAAAAAAAAAAGTGCAAAAGGGATTAATGCTGCTATGTTTCTCTTGTGGTGCCCGTAACACAGATCAGGACGCATCTCTTGCATCATCAACTCCGACTCCTTCTTGCTGCAGGCACACTGTAGTTTATTTGTTCAGTATGAGTACGTGTGCTTTTTACCAGCTAAACTAACTGGCGACTGAGGGATTGCTTATGCCTCCCAGTAAATCCCTGGAAACAAGATAGGCTATCGTAACACCTGAATTACATGGAATTTTCTTTGTGTGTTTATCTCAAATGATGTTACCATTTCAGCCAGCAAATGTATATGTTATTGCGGTCAGCAGGACTTCTGTCCTTTGAAATTCTGCGTGCTTTACTGTTTTTATCAAATGAAACTGTAATAACACAGCTCAAAAACTGTGCACTCTTATTGGAAAACACATTTTACAGGAACTGCTTCTTCTGATAATTACATATTTGGCGACAGAGGGTGAGGGGGTGAAGAAAAGCTATTTTCCCATCTGCAGCAAATCCTGACAGCCGCTTAAAAACAACAGTAATGAGGGAGAGAAAAAGATATTTGTGAAGGCTTTAGATATTAGTTTCAGCTAAGTATGCCACTCGCAAGGCCTTCCTTGGTTTATTTTGGTTTGCAGTGGAGAGGGCTTTGTACAGTGCACCGGAACTCCTGGCAAAATACTGGTATCTCAGGACACATAGCTATCACTGAATATTTTAAGCAAGAAATAGTTAGTGAATGGTTTACTTTACAGCATTCGCACCATTCAAACTCTGGACAGAGCCAGGAAATGAAGAAATAAAAAATGGATGAAAGTTTATTGACCCAATAAATTGAAGAAAAGGGAAACATTCGGATCAGTCTTTACTGAGTCCAAGTAATTCACCTCATCCTAAACAGACTCCTCTTTGCTGTAGAGCCCTGAGTATGGGCTCAGGAAAGTTCGGAAAGGAGAAAAGTTAAATAATAACTGTTATCAACTCCAGATGACAGCAGAAGAAAAGGAAAGCCTTGTAACAGGTCTGTCCCGGGAACAAGACACTCAGTGCAAAGCTCTGCCTTCAGCTGTGCCGTTCACCCTGTGGTATCATGGTGATTCCAGGGTAAGCTGTTTCCGTGACCTTACACCTCACAAAAAACTGTCTCCTCTTGTCCATGGGGGAACACGGCACAGCAGCCACCAGCACTGTAGTAAGTGGAAACCTTCAGGCAGGCGCAGGAGGGAGCTTGAGGCCTTTGAAAGGTCTTTGCTTTATAAAGTTGTGGCTCCTGCATTCTGCCTCGCAATCCTGTCTGCTGGCATGTGCAAGCATAACCCATCAGCTGAAGATCTACACTATAAAAGCCTGCAATGCAAGCTACCGAATATATATGTTTATCTGTAAATGTCTCTATTTAGATACAGAAACTCTATTTCTACCTGTACATTTCTACCTGTAACATCTATAAGACATTAAAACCTGTGTTTATGAAAAATAGAGCATGTGAATGTCCTTGATTTCCAGGAGCTGCCAGTCTCTCCTACTAAACAGAACATTTCTTCTAACACCCCAAATAATTCAGGGCAGCAAAAATCTCAGAACACTTTGTCACTACAAACTGTTTTGAGGCTTCAGCTGGCGGTTGCTGGACGCTGTGAAGTGGGTACACAGGGACATCACACAGTAAGACTGTTACCTAGACCAGTAATGCTATTTGAAATGAGAAAAATCGAAGAAGAAAAGTAAAAATTAGTTATCAGGGTCTCTGCCTGCTTTTTGATTGATATTTTAGATTAAGAGGAAACTGATTGCAACTCTACTAGCTTGTTTCAAATGTGAGGAGGAGGTGCTGTGATACTCGGTCATGGACTGCTCCTGGAACATCTGTGGACTGAGTGCAAGCATAGATGCTTTGCCACTGACACTTGGATGTAATCGTGGTTTCTTGTCTCCACCATAATGCAGCTCTGCTTCTTATATTTGTATTGTTTTTTGATGATTTTACTTTAGATTGCCAAATTAGCTATATTGAAAACAATTTTTAAATGGAGTATCTACATTTTTGGGTGTGGGGTTTTGGTTTGGTTTGGGTTTTTTTTTTCCCCTGGTACTCCATTCAAAAACCTCTTTGAGTGTAAAGTGAGATTAAAGTCTTCCCTTCTACTAATTTTCATGCTTGGTATTTAGCAGCCTGAGAGCTGGTTTGTTCTAGTTTCTAATTTTTCCAGGCATTTGGAAGCAATCTGCTAGACACAGCACGACCTGGCAGCCAGTGCAATGTGCACCTTCAACACCGGCCTGTTCTTCAGAGAAAAGCATCTGAACTCACTAAGCAACCGCTGGCTGGGGGATGAGGATGAAAAGAGGACGTGGCATCCTAATGTCGTAAGGAGGATACCTGTCTGAAGGCAGGAAGCATTTGTGTGCTGTACCAGCCAGGCGTCTTTCACCATACAGCGGCATCAAAGCACCACGAGGTCTGGAAGGATGCCAGCTCTCTTCCTAAGGACCAAATCTTATACTCCATCAAAATCTTACTGAAGGTCTCAGGTGTGGAGGCACAGCAGAGAGTGAAGGTGGGTACTGAATGTCGGGTTGCCCAAGAGGCAGAAGGCACAGCAGGAGCTTTAGACAAGCTTTTGGTAACCGAGAAAAAGATCAACCTGTTGGGCACCGACCATCCTCCTACTTCTGAAGGAGACAGCTTGTGTAGTCTCTGCCCCTCAGACCCTGAGCAAGAGCTAAAAACACGCTATGGGGTTGCAGTTACAGGTCTGGAAGGCTAAATTCAGTCACACCGGATCAGTGTAACAGGAAACATATCTGCATTTTATTCACATCAGTGGTACCACATAACAAATTGCTACTCCTCTGGTTCAGCTCAGTGCAAACAGAGTAGAACATTAGGAAACCTCTAAAGATAATCAGCAAATGACAGGAGAATAAAAACCATTTCTCAAATTGATTGTACAATGAGGTTTTATTGTTGAAAGAAAAAAAACCCTCAAAACCAACAGGGTTCCCAGATTCAATTGCTGTTACATATTAAACTGAGTACTGGTGAACTGATTCTTACATTTCAAAACATCTTGTATTAGTTTAGTGCAGTCTGAAGGAACCGGCTTTTTCATAACTCAAGGCACAGCACCGAAATGCAGTCCTCAGCCTGACATCCAGTCAGGGTCATTCTGTGGATTAATCAGGATGCCTGATTCCCAGAGATTCTGTGCACATTGGCTGAGCACCTGATTACAGCAGTGCTATAAATGGATAAGACTATCCATCACGTAGCTTTCCAGACAGTACATGATGTATTCTACCTCAGGAAAATTAGTGTGCTTATTATTTGTCAGCTCATATTCCGGTTGCTTGCAGAAGCGACCTCCTCGGTCTGGAATTATTTGAAATGTTGGTCAAATTCAGAAAGCATCTTGTTTTACTATCATGGTGAAATTCAAGCATATGATCATATTATTCTCAGAATCATCAGAGAATCCTTGTAAAATAATGTTATAATTGCCCTAAAAGCAAGCAAGAAAAAAGAAAAAGAAAATTAGTGCATAACTCTTCCCAATTTTGTCCAAGTAACTTGGAATGGTTCTGGTTATTTCTGTTAAGGTGTAAAAAGAAAGATTCCCATCAGGGACTGTTATCATGGGTATACTCAGATATATGTATACACAAAAAAATATTGCTAGACTTTCTTCTCATGACCAGGGCACTAAGGAACAGCAGTAGGCTGTGGTCCAGCTTGCCCTTGTCAGGGTCCTCTCTCAAGCCAACGAGGCCTGTGCTCCCAAGGGCGCCTGCTCCCCCCTTCCAGAGCCCTTCTCTGGAGTAATGTTTCTGACTCCATAAGCAGGAATTACCTGGGCTGATATGCCAGGCTGTGTTCTGCAGCAATGGGCTTCTTTTTTCCCGCGCTGTGAGGCAGTATCCTTACCAGCCCCCATAGCTTACATCTAGCAAGGGTTCAGCCCTGTCAACACTTCCATTTTCTGCTTCTTGCCCCCTTTTTGCCCCAATACCCATATTCAGACCACAGGTAGCTGCAACAACAGCCTCTGTATTTTACAGTCAGCCCTAGGGAAATCCTCCGGGCTACACACCGCACAGCTTCTGACTAGTCTTGTAACAGTACTGGACAGTCCCAGGTTTAACTGTTTTCTACGCATCTTCACACCCTCGCACAGACAGGCTTTTGTAGGCACCAGGACAAACAATATCTTGCTGGCCTTTACTGAACCCAGGTCTTGCCCTACCTTCTTGTACCCCTGTCACCTTCCTTTTCTGATATGGCAAACTGGGGATGAGCGCTTGGGAGCTGATGGGCTCTTAGGACTAAAGACTGGGAGGCTTGCAAGAGTTTCCAGCTGATGTTAAAGGCTATGATTAGGGTTGGTTCCTGGTGTGGCAGACTCCCACCAGGAAGAGTCAGGTCTGCCACAAGCACCTCATCTATATGAGAACTGCTTACAGCAGAGGACATTCGTGTCTACTACCAGCTCTGGGGGCTAGAAGAGCTGCTGGGCTAGAGTTCAACTCTGTTAGAGGCCCATGAGCTTTGAGTTAAGGGGAGGCTGGAGATTTTGTGCCAGTAGGAGCACCTTAGTGGTGTTTGTGGGGACTAATAGGGATGGTAAGGCTAATGTTAGGGTCTCAGCAAGGCTCAGGTGGCTGATGAGGCAGGTGTTGGATGAAAGTGGGCTAACCTGAGGATTGGTGCTGCATTGCTTTGACTTTTGGATATTCTTATCCCTCTTCAAGTCTTTGAAAAGGTTTTCAGGGAGGAACAGACCAGAGCATGAAGAGAATGTAAAATAAAGAATGAAATGGGCAGAAAGAATATGGATGGATTTACTCAAACACGTAAAAGGAAACACAGTAATTTATCAAACAAAATGGAATGATTAAGGTGATGTTAACTAATACTTTTGGTCTTTTCTTTTATAAGATAAAGAAGGAATAATAGAGAAATAATAACCTGAGGACATTTAGCATTTCAGAGCTGCTACTATTCCAGAGTCATCACCTCAGGCATGAGAAAGTTTTCTGACATTTCCTTTTGCTGTTTTCTACAGTTTCAGTGAACATCTCTTTCCAGAAAATATATACAAGTATGTTATTTTACTACAGTTATTCCTCTATATAAAATACTGAAAAGTACCTTTGGAAATGTTATTCTTGCACCTTTAATGTCAAATTCTGCTGTAATTGTTTCTGTAAAACAGAGATAATTGTAATATAAATGGTTAGTTAATCACAAAGCCATCAATCCAAGTTCCTAAATAACTTCAAAGCAATATAGCGTATCTCTCAGCAGCACCGACAATGCCATTTGCTTTTTCAGTGATAAAGCCCTCACCTGTTTCTCCTCCCACAGCTCTGCCTATTTGGCTAAACCAGATCTTGGAAAATAGACATTAACCACCATGCTCCTGCAACATCTCCTACAGACCCATCCTACTGTGATGACTCCAACAATTTAACTTGTAATAGTAGTTCAGCAGAATGACGAGTGAAAAGAGCTGATAATCGTTTTTAAAGGAGAACATCGATGGCCTATTTTGATGTTCCTCCTGGTCTTTTTCGCTTTTAGTCTGACATCCAGCCTGAGTTCTCTGGATCTGGGTCTGTGTCACGTTAATGTTTGTTAGCCCCTACAACGGGATTGACTCTTCTCTAATTAAAAAAAGCATTACTCATGGGTGTAGAGAATCTCTTTAAAAACCCATCCAGATGCTTATGTAAATAAACTGTGGTCTGGATATTAGTAGTGCCTGTAGCTCCTCTCAAGTTTTGTGTACAGTCCAGTCAAATGTAATTTTTCCATGTCACTTTAGAGATGTTGACAATACAAATGTCATAATGAGATGAAGGATATTAGTAATCCTAATTTATAGAGATGGAAACTGCAGTACGTGGATATTAAAGTGTAGAATTTTAGTGGGGTTCTGGCACTGGAGAACTGCCTGTTCTGAAGTCTGCTGCCTGCCAAGCGAGATGAACCGATCTCTGCTGTGGAGAGAAAAATCTGACTGCCTGGGTTGATCAATTAGTATTTTCAGAAATCCGCTTAGCGGTGAAAAAGGGCTGGCAGGGTATGGCACTGTTTGTGGGGGAACCTGCCAGGCAAGGGGAAGGCACCGTGCATTTTCCACACCGACCTCCTTTCAGCGATGCGCACACTGAGTATTCGTCGTCAGCTCCGCTGCAGAGGGTTTCTTTCCAGTGTAACGCTTTGGCACCTTCGTACCAAACGTTGAAGACAATCTTCAAAAAGGTGATGTCACTTCCTAGTTAAGACATTGCAAGTAAGAAAATGGTAGCAAGTGGGGAGGAAAAACATATATGCAGACACACTGTTTCAATAAAAACTAGTTTTCTCTGAAATACAGTATTTTTTAAAGACTCCCCCCAAAACTAACAAAAATACATGTATTGAAAACTGTTACTTCCAGAAAAACAAAAAGCTGGTTTTCAACCAAAAAATCAGTCCTAAAAAGTATTTGAGTGAGCAATTTCAAAATCCGTTTCAATTTCTTCAGCAAAGATAACAGAGTTGACGCAGCTCCACAGCTCACTCAAATAAATACTCAGATGAGGATGCTGTAGTTTCAAGCAGGTGTTGCAAACAAACTGTCCTGAATGCTGGTGGCCACCACAGAGTTATCTTTCGAGGGAAGCAGACTTAGTTCAGCTCCAGAGTTTTCACTCAGAAGGTGAAGTTTATGATACAGCCATTTCATAAGCAACTCAGCTTGCCAGCTTAAAGCTGGATTTGATGATTAAAGTTGGGTTTGCATACACAATCCAGTCCCATCTCCAGCTTCTGGAACATGCATATTCTTAGTAGAAGTCCTGCCATACTCGGATAGCCTAATGATATTCTCTCTCCTTAAAAAGTCTTGGATCTTCTCCAGGCCAGAAGAGCTTATGTGCTACAAATCTCATCTGCTTCTTCCAGACAAAAACACGTGCACCTAAACCACCTCAGGTTTGCGTGTACAGCGCCTGTTAGCGTGCAGAGACCTGGTAACTGCTCCAACAAATAAAACTCGCACACGCTTATTTCCACAAATCATCATTTCCGTCCATCACTGTAGTTTATCTATTCCATTTTTAACCACAGAAGCTGATCTCCTAAATCATCTGGCATTTAGGAAGAAGTGTCAGCTTTTTGCATTTGCAGAATGTAATTGTCGGGTCAAGAGGGACTCACTTGGAATCCAGGTAAGAGTAGCATTCCAGACGGGTTTGTTCATGGTGCTGCAAGGTGTCATGTTAAACACGAAAGCATGAGCTGTAGAATCTACAGGAAAAAAGTATTTCATATTGGTAGTGTGAATAGGCTTTTCCAGGAAAATAATAAAAATCACACAATCAGTATCTAATCCAACCTAGACTCCATTAGCTCATATTTTAATTTTTCAAAAATTAATCCTTTGGAAGGATTTCCAGTCAGGTTTTTTTGGTTTTTTTTTTTTTTGAAAGAAGGCTGTTCAATTCATCTTGCTTCTACCCTCCCGAGTGTGCTGTCCCCTGAGGGCAGACTGGGGCAGGGGGATGCTCCATGTGCTAATCCAGACGGAGCAAACGGGATGGCAGGGTGATTTACAGTGAGGGGTTCTGCCTTGTGTTTCGGGGATTAATGCAAGGGACGTGAAAAGGGAAACTGGCTGGCCGTTGGTAACCAGCAGTCAGCTTCTCATCTCAGGTGCAATTACGCATGGGAAATTGCGACAGAAAAAAAAAGGGCAAACAAAACTCACCGTGGTCTCCATAGTTTGGTTCGCAAGCTTAAGTACCGCCACTTTCAGGCTTGTTACATTTTTAGCATGAGTACGAATGTAAAGCAAAGTACCCAAAATACACATCCCCTCCTGTGCCTCAGTCTATATAGCTCTATTACACAGATTTTCAAAAGACATGGGCCTTTCCTTGCGAAAGATCTCCTCAAAAGCCCACCTTCAGCCACTGAGTCCACATGGGCACACTGAGCCTGTTCACCATGGAAATCAGGGAGGTGCCAAGTTCTTGCACAATAGACCAAAAACCTCAGTGAACTACATAGATCCAGTGGCCTATGACACAGACAAGGCAAGAAGGGACACACTATGTTGTCCCAGAGCCTGACTGATCCTCCAGCCTGGCAGAATATCACATTCCTCCTTTTTTTCCCACTTATTTAGAGCTTTTCATTGTAGTATATTGGCTAAAGCAATGTGGATAATTCATAAAACACAATACTTGCAAAACAAATTTAAATCCCTTATCTTCTAATATTTCCTGAATCAAACCATGCCTGCTCTATTTGGGAGTAACATTCTCTCTTAGCTGCTGCAATCAGCATTGTGGTAATATTTACGCCTATGCCGTATAATTCTTATAATAGGGTAATTAATAACAGAAAAAATTTGAAAGGAAGTTCACATTCTCTCAGACTACAGTAATTATTGTGCAAACACCAGTAAGAAAAGAATAAGCTATTTTTTTACTTACCACAAAAAGTATACGACATTTCTAGATCTGACGATGTACAAAGAAATTCACTGACTCCAGGGGTGAATAAAATGAGAAAAAAAAGTCCAAACATGGTTACTTTTTTGGCTCAGTATTCGATGGACTAAAACCTTGTTTTGGGGAAAGAGGAACAAAAATTCAGCACAGTCAGCCTCAGTCACATGTCTTCAGGGTATATTCGGTTATTTTGTCAAATTCTGTGCAATCTTGATTAATCTTACTGCAGCACTATCAGTTATCATCACAATAAATTTTGTGAAGAAAAAGGATTTCTGCCTTTGTTGTTACTTTTTCCCCAGACAGCGTAGCTCAAGCCACGAGTGAAAAATGAAAGAGAAAACTGTGTGAAATGGGGAAGTGTGGAGAAGTAAAATTGTGATTACCAGAAGCACGTAAAGGGCAAGTTTAGTTGACTCATCAGATGTAACATTTGTTAAGGCATGATTTCAAACACTCACAGAGTTTCCTGTATATAATAAAGAAGAGAAAAATCCATAAATGGTGAAAAACAAGTCCCTTCTTATTGATATGGTAGTCAATAAGTCCACTCTTTTATTATATGGTAGTCAATAACTCTCAGAAGGTTTCAGAATGAATCTCTTACAAAGCTCACAGTGCTTTAAGAACACACCGGTACTCCGGAGGAGTGTAATGAGATGATGTATTTCCAAACGGAGGTAAGGATGGGAGCTGCAGGCAACCATCTGACATGTTATTGAGTTGAACCACTGATGTCCTGCACTATCTCAGCTACCGTCTTCAAAGCTGTATCTATCACAGTTAAACTTCTTAGTGAAAAAAATCTTACAAATCCATAAAATTACAACTGCTGAGTCCCATGGCCCCACCTGTCCTCCTTCTGTGACCTTCTCCCGTGCTCTTCCCCGCAGTCTCTGCTGCAGACGCTGCACGATTTGCCCCAGAGCAGAGCCCAACCCCTGACTGGTGTGTGACTGCATGGCACGGGCATGGGGCCGGTGGACACCGGACTCGAGACAGTTAATAGCAAAAGCTATAAAATTTTGAGTGAGATGTTTCTGTAAGGACACAGAATCTACCGGTCACAACTGGAGAGAGGGTAGGAACCCAATTTTAACCTGGGGTGTTGAAAACAGTCCAGGTTGCAGATTTTGGTATTCAAATTTGAAACACTAAAATAAAAATTCTTAAACCACTTTTCATATTGGATACCCCCCTAGTGCAATACACAAAGAACAGCATATTTTTCCTGTATCTAAAATATTGGTTCTATGGACTAAACTGGGTCAGCTTGTACTGCACAAACCCACCAATATTGCTAGTTCCAACTAAAAAAAAAATCAAAAAAGTCTAATACCTCATTCAAGAGAGCACAATTACCATCTAACAGACAGGAAACACAATTACATTTTTTTTCTGAATATAATAAAATATGGAAACTTACTGAATTTATGGAAGAATGACTTACAGAACTTAACCAAATTATTTTCTCATGAGTTACCTTCTTGATCTGTATGTATGTATGGAGGCTTCTCTTAGATCAGAAATTGCATTTGTTATGAAAAAGAAGCTGTATACAAAACAGACAGGGATTTGGTTTTGTGTAAGCATGAAACTCGATAAAAATTCTTTACAACAAATATAACTTAATCAATTGCTCTAACTCTCCCCACTCCACATCAGTGTCTAAAACCTTTCGTTCTCACAAATTCTGTGCACACTAGGGTAATATTTTACATATTTTAACGATAAAGTATTAAGAATTTTGTTTTCAGAATTCCAAATGTGTAATGTTGAAAACAGTTTAGGAACAGCGACACGCACAGAAACGTGACTGATTGTGCCCAGAAGAAGGGGAGTGAGTGACAATTCTATTAGAACTACCTAAAAGTATCAACTAATGATTTAATGCATGTAATAATTCACTAAGATAAAAATTTGAAATTTTAGTATGGCTAGAGAATTCTCTTCAGTATTTCCAAATGGTTCTACAAACCACAAGAAGAATCCCATCAGCCTGACAGAGTTCAAGACTGAAAGAAACTTCTAACATTTGGCTTTTAAGTGGAAATTCAAAATTATACAACTTTCCTGACAGATCTCCAGAGTACATAAATGGCACACAGATTTCTGCTGTTGTTTAATAGGACGCTATAAAACATACAAACCCTTTGTAATCACAGCAATAATACAGTTCTGTTTCAAAATGGCCAAATTTTGCTCAGTAAAATACGTAATGAAATTGAAATAAATTGGGAAGGCTGTAGTAGTTGGAAAAACAAATGGAGTAATGAGACAGCCACTAAGGGGTGATGAAGCAGCCCCTAAAGAAGAGCTACCTTGCGCATGTACAGTCAAAAAAAGGTCCCTTTCAACCACAATGCCATGGTCACTGATGCAGAATGAGCCTAATGAGCGAGAAGCCAAGCCAAGCTCTCTGCTGGATCTTCTGTCAGTCCAATAGATTTAGCAAAAGTCACAGGTCAGTTTGAAGCAGGTGTGAGATGGCACTGCCTGTACCCTATTGACATACACCATCACCCGGCTGAAAGCGCATCTGTCCCTCTGCGGCCAGACCTGTCCTCACTTCGCTGCGCAGTGTGTTGGGTGGCTGATGTACTCATGGGCAGACTGGAAAGGGCGCTGCAGATTTACAAGATTTTATACAAAAGCTTTTTTAACTTCAATGGAGACAAGCCCTCTGCTGAACTCTCGGACTTTCTAGACCTGGTTCAAGAATAGGTGGGGTTTTTTTAAGACACTTGCTGCTCTAAGTGATATAGATGAGGAATGAGTCCCCCCTGGTGGCTTAGACAGACAGACACATGGGGAAACCTCTGTATCCCCTCCTGTTTCTTATTGCATGTTTACTGCACAAGTCAAGACTATTCCAATGCTTTCAAAAAACAGCATAATTAGGCTCCATTTTAAAAAGGATCTGGCTGGCTAATGGGAAAACGGGAACAGTAAGTTCTACTGGTATCAGGGCTAAGATACCACTTATGACCACAATTACAAAGTCTACAGCCTTGACCATTGTGTCTGGTCAAATTGTCCTTAAATCAAAATAACCTCAAAAATTTTAAAATCTTTTCAGCAAATTCAGTTTTAGATGCTTGTGGCTTTTGATGCCCCTTATCGATGCCATTCATAGAACTGACCTCTTGTGATGCTCACTGAAAGCCCAAACTCGCGCACTATGGATGAGAGGAGTCTGCTCTGTCCCTTTCTAGTCAGTATGAAGGGCACTGGAGATGAAGCACATAAACTTCTACATATTTAACTTTTACTAAATACTCTTTCTTTACTATAATCTTTTTCTTCTATACTCTGATCCAGAAAGAACATGAAAAGGAGAGAAAGAGAAGTGGAAAGAGCTACACAATAGTGTTACTTCACTAGAGTGTTGTGGCAATTTACTTCATTTATTTTGAAATCATTTGCAACTACATTCAGTAGGGACCAACTCTCATATCCCATTAACAGTACATAAAATAAATCCAAGTCTAGAAAATGTAGGACTTCATACCTATGACTTTTCATTTTGTCTACATCCAAGATGGTGAGAGTAGAAGTTTAATTCCAAGCCTCCACACTGATTTGTGGTTAAAATCCTTAAACTAATTTATGGTATTTTTACCTTCTTTCTCAATATGTCTATAAAGTGCTTAACTTACTTGTGATTGCTTTTCAAAACAATCACTTTGTGTTTGGATTGTTGGCTGCAGATGAGTACTTTGACTTTAAGCACATATAAGTCACTGAAATCTCCCTCAGGAAAGATTTATAATATATATTATCATAATATCCCATCACAGAAAAATAAATAATAGTATACCAGTACAGCAGAGGAAAGCACTCTGTTTCAAAGTGTTAGTCAGTCAGAATTAAAAATTATGTCCTCATTCTTGGCATGTACCAAAACCTCACATTAATGGAAAACTCTTTTAAGATGTTAAACACATTCATTCAATAAAGAAAGAGGCAATAATAATTTAATTTACCTTGCAGGACCATTTGTGAAGTATGTATTTTTGCAGCTGGAAGCAGACGTGTTTGTTACTTCTGATCCTGGGTTTAGGGCTGCTGCTGAAGACACTGCAATATAAAGGGGACATATATAAGGCATGCATTCACAAAACAAAAACACACTTGGCAATCAACATAAAAAGTGGAAAATTGCAGCAATTCATGAGTAAACCTCTCTTCTCAAATCTTCTCGTCCGATCTCTGACAATGTTGATAGTGGAAGCAGAAAGCCAAGCCCAGGGATGCTGGAAAGAGGTAGAGGATTCAGCTCCACTACGCACAGCTGATGACGCACCCGAGGGCGCCAGGGCAGCCCGACCCAAGAGCAGTGCACCAGCGCGTACCCAGTGGTGAGCTGGTAGTGTTTGAGTAAGAAAGCAAATAGTTGTGGAAAGAAAGAAAAAGCGATGTACATTATTCTTAATACATTATTTAAAATGCCGTATGCACTTTGGCTTAGTGGTTTGATTTGAATATAACACATTAAACCACTGGAGGCCATTCAAGGGAAGCAAATACACACCAGGTGGTATCCTGTGGAAACAATTATGTTGGAAATAACCCTCTGTCTGTTGCCAGTAGGCTTACGGTTTATTCTTTCTGAGCCAAGTTTAAGATTAAAGCTTATGGTTATACTCTTAAAGTATACATTAAACCATTAAAGCTGTCAAGGAGAAGAGAAAGCAGAGGGTGAAGGGAGAAAAAGGGCTGTGTCCCACCTGAGGCTGATAGAAAGCACACCACAGCAACGCTGTCCACCCTGGTATTCCAGAAATGGAGACAGCTGGACATGTTTTGCGGTCATTTGCTCTTGTTCTCTGTTCTTGCCTGCTTAAAATAGCTGCTCGCTGAGGTCTGTAGAGCTGGGGGATAATCTTATTATAGTGGATCCAACTCGTAGCTAGCACACTTGTCCCATTTCTCAGGGGGGTTGCAGCAGGCCATGTTGTATGTGGGGGCTTGAAGAAATCCGTGGTATGACCACAGAACTCCAGGGCAACCAAATTGCAGCAGCCTACCAAGTTTCCACCTATTAAGTTATACTGAGCAATTGTAATAATTCAC